CAGAAATAGCCGGGGAATAATACATACATCATCTCGATGACCGTGCTGTATCGGCTTTTCAAGGTGCCGTCGGTGTCGATGCGAATGACATCACGTCGTTTCAACCATATCCGCCCAGCTGATAGTTCCTCAGCCGGCAACAAGAGTATTGGCGATGATGGGTTACCGGTAAATGCTACCAACGTCAAATCCGTCGCAGCAGCCATGAGGTATACTGCGGTGAATATCGGCGTCGAATTTTGTACAGTAGCGATGAATCCTACAGCTGAAAGTACCATTACCACTGCACATAATGCTGAGAGAGCCAGCTCACCGACGGTCGATATTATGAATGCCCCTGGCAGAATTAAAACTTTCTTTTCCCGCCCCCATATCACGTAGCAGCGGTAGAGCTAAGTTCCACCATGATCAGTTGTTCAGCCAGTCTGAACATAGGAGAACACTCAACGAGGAGCAGATCCACCGCAAGACTGGCATCAACATCAGTGGAGCACAAGAACAAAGCTGAACGGGGCTGACTTATTGATTACAAAAACCACATTGTCAGCGAACACCAACGAATTATATGTCCCAAACTGGGGCGCTGGCACTGGATCCGGATTCAGGTCCGTCCGCTGTTTAACCAGCTCTCGCAAGAGGCGCAGTGTTTCCACCATCATTGGGATGCATAGAACGACCTGTGCCGTTCCAAGTGCGACCATGGCCCAGCTGAAAGTCAATAGAACGATCTTTCCCGCTGTTTCACGACGATGCAAGTTGCGTATAGCAATAATGAACAGAATGAGGAATATTGCTGTGCAAAAATCCGATTAGTATGTTGCAGCAGCATGATGGAGATGATTGACCATAGAAAAAAATCTGCACCTACGCAACTCGTCAGTCCTCATTACGGTTTCGAGATTTTCTGATCATGACGTACACAAGTTCCTGATATCTCGCGGAGAGTGAGCTTCCAGTAGAAATTGAATTGGGCGGAGTTGACGATGTCGTCCATTGGTGCTGTGCGATCGAGGAGAAAGCGGGAGGGCGGGTGAGGCAGAAGGAGGAATGAAGAATGGAGAACAGGAGATAGTAGGTCGGAGGGATGGAAGGAGATTTTAAATCAATGGAGGGAAATCAAGATGCCAAAGATGATCTGCTGCGGGCGTCGGTATGACACTGACTGACATGTGCCAGTAGGCTATGTTCAACGGAACCACCCAAGTACAGGTCAATGTATCGTCGTGTGTGTGCGCCCGTGATACAAAAGGTGGAAGAACGAACATTAAAAAGGATGCATCACACTGTGAACACAGGATAATGTGTTCTAGACTCGTAACCAGTCTGTCTACAGGAAAGCAACCTACTGTGGCGTGGCACAGTTGTCGTAGACAGACTGGTACATCTCGGGGCTCGGCTAAGGGCTGAGCCCGGAGTTTGAATTTTAGTGGTTTCCCACTAGTCTCACTTATAGTCAGACTCCACAACATTTATGATAGTCGATAAATGTTTTATATGGAGTCTGATTTCGTTGGCAGGTCCGATCATGGACCTGGGTTTTAGCTGACACGTGATTACTTCCCCACGCCCAAATTCGGACAATCTCGCCTCACCGGAACTTTGGGAACCTGGATTATTGCCTAATGTATTCGAGCAGGATAACCGATTGATTTCGGTCTTTCAACCAAGAAGATTGGGTCTGAAATGGATTCGAGAGGTGTTGTTTATGTATTTGAGTTGAAATAGCAATAGTACACTGAGAAGGACCTCAAAACTATTGGAGAATTTTCTGGTACCTACTAATAGCTTAAAATAAATGTTCTATTTGGTCGGAATGGCAGCTAGGCCGTTGCAAGTATCCAAATCCCGAATATCGACCCGATTTGGACGTGAGAAATGGTCACGTTCTCCATCAAAAACCCAGGTCCATGATCAGACGTGCCAACAGATTCAGACTAGTTTCCCACACTAAAACCGCTTGTAACCGCGTAAACTCGATGACGCGATCGCTTCGGCAAACGCTAAGCGAGTTCCCATGCTCAATTCCTTTTAAAACTGCCTCTGCTTTTGTGGGATTTCCGTGCCCCAAAATGTGATTTTGTGTAGATAGACTTGAAGGTATGAACTTATCGTTGGTATAAAAAGCTTGAACCGAAAGAATTGGTTCAAAATTGAACCCGGAATCAATGATCTTTCTAAAAGTTCAGTGTGGGAAACCACTAAAATTCAAACTCCGGGCTCAGCCCTTAGCCGAGCCCCGAGATGTACCAGTCTGTCTACGACAACCGTGCCACGCCACAGTAGGTTGCTTTCCTGTAGACAGACTGGTTACGAGTCTAAATGTGTTCTTTAAATAACCCGTTTTTGCCTTACGCAAGTGTCCTCATGGTCTCGCCGCGAAGACCGACGCTTCTGTGGCTCCATAATTCGATTACGGACTGGCAATATGTAGGAAGAAAATCAGCTCCGGAAGCAATGAATTGACGGTTTGTTTAACTTTGATCATTCGCTTGGCATCTTGATTCATTACCACTGCCATACTGTCCGTATATACGCCGCTGGGGCGCTGCTTATTGACCGGAGCCAATCAATTTTCGCAGCAAGCCCGTGTCGACGCCGTTCATTGATTCAGACACCGGATTGCAGCTTGAACTGCCGTGGACCCTCTTCCGATATCTAATTGTGCTGTGCGAAATTTACCACGCTGGTGTGATCTGCACAGTGAGCGTGGCTGCGGCTGAGAATGGCGCCAGCACTCTGAGCTCCGAAGGCTCTGCTCTTTCTGGCCGGTATACGATAGTTTGCTGAGAGGGATCCGATTCAAGCTTGTGACATCGGAACATGTATGAAGACAAAAATTCTTTTACCAAAAAATAAGGCGCCCAGACCAGCTGGACTTATGGTTCGTTCCGAAGAACTCATCTGTCTACTTATGTGCAAGCACAAATGGCGAAAGGGACACCCTCTTCGACAGGTAGCGCGGTCCAAGCCCGGCCCTCCTGATACAATAATAAGGTACTCTAATGGGACCACATGATCAGAGTTATGTTCCAGATTCCGGCCACCGGTTTGTTCGGCAAATACCGAAAACCTTTTCGCAATGATATGAAAACCGTGCCGGCCGCATGCTACATTAGTGATAGTCTCAGCAATGATTCAAAAGCATATATCTGCAACTCGAGTCCTAGTGGCCGTCTGCCCATGCAATCAAGTAAGACATCAACAGATCATGATGATACCGGCAGCTTCCGGCCTGTCGTCTTCTCTCATCTTTTTCTTTGCATGCAAAGCATATCCCTCCTCTCTCAAAAGGTGGCTAGATCGCCTATGATTATTACATCGATCCCAGGTGCAGGACGCTCCTCCGCAAAGAATCTCCGCAGAAATACGGGCTGGATCCACGCAAATCTCACGCCTGCGTTTCGCTGAGCAAACCCAAGAGGCCTCTCCGCAGGCGTTTTGGAACTTGAAGCGACGGCGGGGCTACTAGTCCGGCGACGAACTGAGGACTGTTCACAACCTACTTCCCCTCGCGGCGCAGTATTACAAGTCCGTGGCCGCAACATCGGACCGTTCTTATTCATCTGTGCATCTTCATCTCCCTCCCCACCATCACCCTGTCCCTCGACCTCTGCCGGCGAATGCACCTCTAGGTCCGCAATACTCTGACTCCTCCGGCTCCCGCCTTCGCTCACCACGTCCGATTGTTCCGCGCGCTGTACCCTCGCAAACGGTGCTGTCCGCATCATGCACCGCTCGTGCGAGGCGCTCCCCGCGACGCGTACCGCGCTTTGGCGGCCACTCCCTCTCACTATCAGATGGCGCGCAGCTTGAGAGGGACGGGGAATGGCCGGTACGTGTTGCGCGAGTTGCAGAGCGATGGGGATCCCGGGAAGGATGTGGCGACGGATATCGACGACTTGGGGGCGTGGACTTCCATACTTCTGCACCCGTCACCAATGACGATCTCCGACTCACTCTGGATCTCAACAACCTCCTTTTCGACACGAACAAGCTTGCTCCCCCGCGCCCGTCCACCCCGTCGCCTTCTATTTCTCGCCCCTCACCTTCTTCCACTTTTTCTTCTCACCACTTCCGCGTCCGTCACCGACGACGGCCTCCACCTCGCTCTCGATCTCAACAACGACCTCCCTCTCGACACGGGGTCCCCCGCGCACGTTCACCCCCCTGTCTTCCACTTCCAATCTTATTTCGACGCTCAAGCGGCGCCTTCATCGCTCGCACCGTTGGGGCGGAAGCCTATCCCTCCCCAGCGCGCGAACCGCCCAAAATTCTGCCGCCGCCCAGCTCGCCGTTCCCGCTTCCGCCGGGCGCTCGGCCCCACTCCCTCACTTGTACTGCCTGCAAAACTGGTGCTACGCAGATATGCCGCATCACTCGGATGATTCTGTCATTTATTCGTCTGATTATAACGGTATTGTACTGCTGGTTGACGTGATTTAATGGACTCGGTGCTGGCTCTCTTTTGCATTCGCTGTTTGAGCTTAACTTGGCTCAGATTTAATATGTGATTGATTGTCGACTCACTTTCATGATCAACTTTCTTGCTTCCGCGTAAAGTACGGATTTGAACGAAGCCTCCCTCTAAAGAATTCCCTTGCCGACAGAACTTCCCTGGCCCACTCATATACATTAGAACACAGGCAAAACTTTCGGAAAGGAATTCGGTGATGCACCGGCGGGGAATCGAACCCCGTCCACTATTATAACAGATTTCTGAACCCCCATCGATCCAGTGAGTGTACCATGCACAACCGGTCCTTCATTACAAGGGTGCATATATCTACATCCAAGCAGCGCCAATAACGTCGACAAGTTCATTGTTTTTCCTAATCAAATTCAAGCTCGCCCCCAAAAGCCTGGATTTAAATGTACCCACTCGTCAAGTTCGCCTTCAACTCCATGCGTCCAATGATTTTGACCGCTCTCAAACTCTCAGAGCCAGAGTCCAGGATGGGGAGAAAGCGGCAAAGGAAAATACCAACCCCGAGGGCGAGTTATGCACCGGCGGGGAATCGAACCCCGTTCACCGTTGGATATGCAAATAGAACGAAATGTGATTGACCTGGCACGTGTACCACACACAACCGGTGCGTTCCATAACCGTTGAAGCTCCGCCAGATGTGTGCATCTTTTCCTGTACGGCAGTTCCAATCCGGAAGTACTCTTCAAGGTCTTCGTTTCTAAACTTCTGACCTCAACCGGTCAAAAATTCAGATCTCCAAGTTCACCAGGCACTTCCAACTCCTTTTGCTCTTGCTCATGGTCGGTGACCTTCGGCTTGACCACTGCTAACACTGCAGCTAGGTTGACGGGCAAAAAATAACTCCGGGACAAATGCACTGGCCTGGCGGGAATTGAATCCCTTCCACCGCTATACTTTTGAAAGCGACACGTCCCCCGCTGGCGCCGCGCTTCTATCATATTAAATCGGCGTTTTAACTCAGGACTGGCTCAACGCCTTTGCTTATTACCTACACGCGCAAAATTCCGAATTTGACGTGTACCGCTGCTTAATATTCTTTGAACCCCGACTAGGACTTATCTTCCCACTTTGAACAACGCCTCAATTGCGTCGTGTGACCTGAGGCATCTCCCCGATCTTCGCCCGCCGAAAACTCTGATGACTACGTATATGAGAAAATAAAAGAAACTGAGAAGAAAATTTTGCTTTCCCCCGCCGCCTCCTTCCATTGGAATAGTTCAGGTCCCTTATCACCCTTCAGCCATGCACGCCTGAGAGGTGACGCTTCCTTATAGGATCAAAAAAAGGAGGCTGAATTCCCGTCAGCTCGATTCCAGAAGGGCTAGTTTTTCTGATAATACCGCATGGACGAAATAAGACAAACCGCGACCCCGGATTACGCGGTCAGATACTGTATTCCCTCGTCTTCTTTGCCAAGGAAAACGGCTGCGCACTAGTTCCATCATCCTGGAGATGTCCATATTGTATGGTTGCGCACTCTTTCTGTTTCTCCCGATGTCCTTTTATCAACGAAGAGTGAAGTCGCCTTAAAATATACACCGGCGGACAATCTTGGACACTCAACCCAACACCGAAACACAACATTATCACAAGCTGATGCGATTCTTGATGGCATCAACATGAGGTAAGTAAACGCCTGGAAAATTAATGCCCTCCTAATATACTCTGTTTCTTTGGTATTCGCGATCTCTCAAACACCCCGAACATACATTCCACTGAAAGCGAATGCTTGCGCTACTAATCGTGCATCGGCGCAACGTAATTGTTGCTATGCGCAATGCTTTATGGATTTCTGCTCTACGAAACAGTCCGCGTGCGCCTCACTTACGTGTGCATTTTAGGAACTCCGTAAACACAATTCTTTCTCAAGAAAGTCAGCGGGACTGTCAACGGTGAGCAGCTTCGAGATTTGAGTTCTAAAAGGATAAATTACTCGCCAAAGTGTCTTGTTCCGGCGAATTTTCAAGTCGAGGTGGATGCGCTGCTGGTCAAAACCTAACACAGTCCATTTCGCTATTCAGCGGCAGGGTTCTATTAATCGATGAGGATCTTGCTTGCCCTACCGCAAAAAAAAAAAACATACAAGATTCACTTTGAGAGTTCGCTCCCATCGTGACCAGAATCACGTTCCCTGGTGCCCAGCCCCTTGGCACGTACCGGATTCAGCGACGCTATCAATCGAGGCATATGAGCTCATTTGAGCTGCCCAGCGGAGGATCGGATCACACGGCCGATCAGACAAATTGAGGGCGTTATATATATCCATTAGACTTCTCGACACTTCTTGTTCGCTCCCCTCCGATGTCAGCTCCCCCCTCAAGAACTCAAAAGCCGTTGCTGCTTCCAGGGATTGCTCCCCATTTATTTCAAACTCGCGCATCTCACCACTCCCGGCAACGAGAAAAAATGATTGCATTAAAGGACTCCCCAGTCCCCAAACTACTCGCAGCCATTCAAGAACTTGTCTCCGGGCAGCGGGAAATTCAGGCCGGTGCGTAGCCCTTCGTCTCGATATCGCATTTGTTCTTTTGCCGACCCCCAAACTACTCCTAGCCATTCAAGAACTTGCCTCCGGGCAGCGGGTAATGCAGGCCAGTGCGTAGCCTCTTGCCTCGATATCGCATTTGTTCTTTTGCCAATCCCCAAACTATTCCTAGCCATTCAAGAACTTGCCTCCGGGCAGCAGGCAATGCGGGCCGGTGCGTATCCTCTTGCCTCGATATCGCATTTGTTCTTTCCCCAGACCCCTAACCAGCTCGTAGCAATACAAGACCTGGTTACGGGTCAGCAGGCCATGCAGACCGGTGCGTAACCTCTTGCCTCGATCATTTGTTCTTTCACCAGAGCCCTAACCAACTCATAACCATTCAACAGATGGGAGTGTCGAGTGGTCCAGCCACCCCGGCGGCCAGAGGCGGGAGCCGCCACTCAATCGTTCAAAAAATCAAAGATGTGGTCGACAGCGTGCTTGAGACCCTGGGGCTTGTGAGTTTGAAGTCCTCTCGTTCTCCTCTAAAAACGCACTGATTGGTTCCCAGTGGGACTTTTATATATTATGATTAGAAATTGTCGTTTCTTCATCCATGGTGCTAGACTCGTGACCAGTCTGCCTACGGGATACCAACCTACTGTGGCGGGGCACGGTTGCCGTAGGCAAAGTGCTCGCCACGGTTTTTGCTATTCATAGGCAGACTGGTAACGAGTCTACCATGGTGCCACCATATGCATGGATGCAAATTATATGTGCTTTCTCGCTCTCTCTTGGTTTTTGCATGATTTCGTCTCCCTGTGCGTCGTTGATCCCTTGACTTCTGTCCGTTGCTTCCCATTTTCTCTCATCGCGCGTTTGTCGGATCCCCAAGGCGACTCGACAAGCCCGTGGCCGCACCATCGGACCGTTTGCATTTATCTGTGCATCTTCACCTCGCTACAATGCCCTGGCCATCGACCTTTACCGCCACATGCGTCTCTGGGTCCGCACTCTCCTCCTACGCCTCCCATCTCCCGCTTTCGCTCACGGTGCACCACGTCCGACTGCGCGCTCGCAAAAGGTGCTGTCCGCCTCATGCACCGCTCGTGCGCGACGCTCCCTGCGATGCATACCGCGCGTTGGCGGCCCGCTCTCTCTTGAGAAGGGCGGGGAAGGGCGGCGCGTGTTGCGCAACAGACTGATGGAAAGAGCCCGGGAAGAATATAAAGGCGGATATCGGCGAATCGGGCGTGGACTTCCCCACTTCCGCGTCCGTCACCAATGACGGCCTCCACCTCACTCTCGATCTCAACAAGCCTCCTTCTCGACACGGACGAATTCGCTCCCTTGCCCCTTTTTACTTCTCGTCCCTCACCTCCCTCCACTTTCCCTTCTGCCCACTTCCACCCTCATTTCGATCCTTAGGCTCGTCTTTTCATTGCTCCTCCGGAGAGAGTGCAGACCTGCTGGATATTCTGCGACGCCTCCGTCGCCCTCGCCCGATCTCGCCGTTCCCGCCTCCGCCGGGTGTCCGGCGCATCCGAGTAGTGCTGTGGGGCCATCGACGTCGCTGAGTCGTGTAATACACTCCAAACTCACCCACCCTCGCTTTCTACGACCCGCCCCCTCCTTGCGCTTATCTCTTGTTTGTACTGCTCAACCCGTACCGCTCTTGTACCACCTTCCTTTGCTAGATGATCTACCCCGTGCCACTCCCTCACTTGTACTGCCCACAAAACTGGTGCTCGCGACTCAGCCTCGCGTACATATCCTTTCACTTGGATTGATTCTTGCCCCCACACACCTCTGCTTCCCTCGTCTGGTCTTCTCATATTCAGGCGGTCGAGCACTGCCATGTACAATTTCGTTCAATTCGGCGGTCACTCGTCACGCCCATTTTCTTTTGTTGCAGCAATAAAATTTTCTCAATTTATCGGAATTCTTTCGGATTTAAATTGTACTAAAATTTCAGGGTTGGTGCTGAATTGACCGAAATTGTACAGTATTCGGGATTAAAATGCACCACTTGAAGCTCAAGGGATAAAAAGGACGCCTGAAATAAGGGAGTCATATGTGATGGTGTTCTACAACTGTTCAACCGGCGTCCCTGACATCTGACATACTCCATTAAATAAATACCAATTTAACCCAAGAGGAATGAATGATCAGACAAGGGTGCAGTAATTCGCGGTGGCTTCCTTCTCACTACCTGGTTTGAGATCGAGTACTCCATCACTTGAATGCTCTCGGTGAACTACGGAGCGAGCGGGAGTGGTTCGCGGAGCACGAGGGGGCTCAATTTTGTCTTGGATATTGTGCCCCATCCCGGCCCGCACGATAATCAGCGTCGGAATTATATTCTGCGGAGAGATTGTGTGAGTCATCTTGGAATCATTGCTCTGGCTGCATTCCTACTAACGATTAACTGCGCCGAAGCCCATTCTATCGCGAACGTGATGTCGCTGCTGGCCGTGCTTGGCTGGACTTCCAAGATGACAATTAATATTGCCAAAGAGCAGTACAGTACCCCGGATTCGACACTGTTAATGGGGTCAGTTTCAGAAATAACTGACATTGATACAATACATTGTTGCGAAGACCGTGTGGTAGCGATTTTTCAAGGTGATGTAGGTGCCGATGTGAATTGCCTCACGGAGCTTCAGCCATATCCGCCCGGCTGTTGGTTCATAAGCCAACCACGAGCATCACAGGGACAATGGATCACCGGTGATTGCTACCAACACTATGTATGACGGTCGTTACTGGACAAAACCCAAGTGCGCATGCATGCGCACGGATGCGCACGGGTGGCATCGATGCCTCCGGATGCGCACGGATGCGCATGCATGCCGATTTCGTGCCCATCGCAGTGGGATCCGTGCTGCATGCACACAGCGTCCATGCCGGCTCCCGGCAAGTTTGATCACGGACCGGTCACAGGAATTTGGCATCAAGACTGCACGCGTGCCGTCATCTGTTCAAATACCGGCCCAATTCGTCATTTTCAGTTCCCCCTTTGAGGCGAAATAAAATTTGCACTAATTCTAATCCCTTTTCTGAGAAGAGTGACCACTTATGCAGGTTTTGTCAGCTGTACGGAGCCAGGAGTCTCTCCTCATCGTGTCGTTCCAGCTCCCT